ATATATATATATATATATATATACATATATACATATATACACACACACACACACACATTTCCATCCATCCATCCATTATCTTTACCCACTTATTCCATTTTGGATCAGGGGGGTCACCGGTGCCCATGTCCAGCAATCACTGTGCGAGGGGTGGGGTACACCCTGGTCAGGTCGCAAGTCCATCACAGGGCCACATAAAGACAAACAAGACAAACAACCATTCACTCACTCACACCTATGGACAATTTAGAGTTACCAATCAGCCTAACATGCATGTTTTTGGTCTGTGGGAGGAAACCGGAGCACCCAGATAAAACCCATGCATGCACAGAGATAACATGCAAACTCCACCCAGAAAGACCCCTGGACCGGGGTTTGAACCAAGGACCTGCTCGCTGAGAGGCAGCAGCTCTACCAGTTGCACCACCGTGCTGCCCCACAAACACACACACACACACACATATACTGTATATATATTTTTTATTTTATTTTTTCTGTAATTTTCAAATCACATGTTTTTTTATGATTGACTGCTGTTGTACTGATAAATTTCTCCTGGAGGGTAAACTATATTTTGGCTGCAAGAATCAAGCTGTGAAATACTTCGTTTTCTACAACTGATAGTTGTTGGTCATTAATTATGATGAAATTTAGCAACTTCTCGTTAAACATTCTAGCTCCGGGGCTTCAGTGATGTCTTCTTGTTCAATCCGCAGCAAGCAGTCTGATTTCGGTCAGCCACGCTCAGTCTGCCCATCCTCAGAGACGGACAGACTGAGAGGGTCAGACTGAACGTGGCGGACCGAAATCAGACTGCCTTCTCCGGACTGAATGAAAATAACAGACTGCTGAAGCCCCGGAGCTCGAATGTCCAACATAAAACTAACTGTACCGCGGTTTAATGTGGTGCTATGGCTCTGCAGACATTGCTCGTTGCTGTCTTGTTTTGTGGTGTTTCTAGTGTAAAATACTTCCACACAGCAGACATGTTTTGGTGAAAAGTTGGTTAGCTGTTAGCCACAGTGCTACTAACTCAGTCCTCATGTTGTAGCTGGCTGCAAACTATGAAATGGATTTCCTGAACGTGAGGTGGGTCTTATTACTCTGGGTTCATGAGACACGCCTCGGTTCAAGGAATCCATTCCATAGTTTGAAACCAACGTGCAGTGCAACCACAGACATGCATCATGGATCAGAAATATCGGCAGGTGGGATCGGAAAATCTGATATGTAAATTATGCTGGTATCGCTACGATACTGGATCGGATCAGCCCCATCCCTATAAAAACAAACAAATAAACAAACAAACAAACAAACAAATAAAAAAAACAACCAGAAATTAGATATGGACAACCAAGCCTGACATCTTCCTCTTCACAATTACACTTTAAGATCTTGTCCATAAACTCCACAAACATGATTGGAGACAAAGGGCTACCTTGGTGGTGTCCAACCTGCACTGGGAACAAGTTTGACTTCCTTCCAAGGATATGGAAACAGCTTTCGATTTGGTTATACATGGATCAAATTTCCTTTACAAGCATCCCTGACACCCCATACTCCCACATCACCCCAAATTAGTTGTTTTATGTGTTAAAATATAAATTATAAATTATATTTTCATGTTAACCAAGATTTTCTTTTTATCAAAGTGGCGGATTCCTGAGGTGAGGGAGCTGTTAGGATAAAAAAAAATACAGTATAAGTATACAGAGCTTGGTTAGTTTATCGGAATCTGGAAGCAGCTAATAATTTTCAGTTGACCAAGTGGGCTGCAACTTAATGGTTACAGAGGCAAAACGTTGGATTTGGAAATAATTCAGTGACACAAACCTTAGAGAACCAAGGTTTAAGTGTTTTCTTTAGCTGTTGTACAAATACAAGTGCTTATGTGTTTTTCCTCTTTCTCTTTCAGAGGTCCAGCCATTCTACATTGGTGTTCCCATTACCCACAGACGAAATAGGCGCAGACATCGCTCTCATGTCCGTGATGCTGATCAGGATTCAAGACACTCACACTACGATCACTATGCACGTCATGACCACTCACACAGAGATTATTACCATGACAGAGAGGAACCCTGTGATGATGAAGAAGGCAGTACAGAGCATCATGAACATGCTGATCCCACAGGTTAATCAAGCCTTGGTTACTGAAATATTATTGTCATGAGTTATTGTAATTTTTCTTAAAATGTGAATCACTGAAAAAAAAAAGTTTTGCCTATTTTTATCTGCCCTAGTAAATTTAAAAGTTCCTTGTGCTTGCAGTCACAGGCAAAATACTGATTTGATTATGAATGAGCTTGAAAAAATGTTAAGAGGCTCAGCTTTGGGCAAACAAACGTTGATGCTGCGAGAGAATGCTGAAAGTCTGCCGATCTCTAAAAATCAAGTACAGAGTTTTTCTCAAGTGCACAACTGAGATCATATATATACATTAATATACAGTATGTGCATGCTTGTTGGTATGTGTTGTACAAACCAATTCCAAAAAAGTTGGGACACTAAACAAATTGTGAATAAAAACTGAATGCAATGATGTGGAGGTGCCAACAGCTAATATTTTATTCAGAATAGAACACAAATCACAGATCAAAAGTTTAAACTGAGAGAATGCATCATTTTAAGGGAAAAATCTGTTGTTTTCAAATTTCATGGCATCAACAAATCCCAAAAAAGTTGGGACAAGTCCATTTTTACCACTGTGTGGCATCCCCCCTTCTTCTTACAACACTCAACAGACGTCTGGGGACAGAGGAGACCAGTTTCTCAAGTTTAGAAATAGGAATGCTCTCCCATTCATGTCTAATACAGGCCTCTAACTGTTCAATCATCTTGGGCCTTCTTTGTCGCACCTTCCTCTTTATGATGTGCCAAATGGGCTCTATAGGTGAAAGATTTGGACTGCAGGCTGGCCATTTCAGTACCCGGATCCTTCTACGAAGCCATGATGTTGTGATTGCTGCAGAATGTGGTCTGGCATTATCGTGTTGAAAAATATAGGGTCTTCCCTGAAAGAGATGACGTCTAGATGGGAGCATATGTTGT